ATTCCTGATTCCCGCACTTTGTCACAAAACTCATTTTAATTAGCTTTAGTATAGCTGCATCTAGGTTCAGCATGATGACGCTGAAAACTGTTCACTTCATTCTCTCTAAGAGAGGAGTTTATTTAGTTTAAATCCCTCTCTTTATTTACCTCAATTTGTTTTTCTGACAAACATTATTCCATAACCTATTTTGTCAGTGTTAGCAAGAGAGAGATTAATTGTATGAGAATTAAAATTAGTGTTTCATTATGTATTTCGAGATTTAAATGCATATGCATACAAACGTGACATTCATATTACTCCTTGATAATTGATTGAGTGCGTTAAATTATTATTTTAACGTGTCAATTACATCGTGACTGCTTATATTAGGCAGGAAGAAAATTTATATCAAATATATATTCATATAAAAAAAGTATATATTAATATATTTTCCTTTGAATATATTAAAATATGTTATAAACAAAAAAGATTTAACAATGGCTGAATCGACGCAGGTAATTATCATTTAATATCAAATATATCACTCCTTATATTGTGTTTTATATATTTATAAATATATTAATTTACAGTTATTTGCTGGGCCTCCACCCATTTGGCCCGATATTAGATCAGAACTGCGGGAATATATTGAATGTCCTGAACGATTACCTATACATCAATTGGATAATACCCAATGTTATTGGCCACGTAAAGCAGATGTCCTTTCCTTGCTAGAATTTGATTTAGCTCCCGTTAACACCACGCTTAAATTTGACCGTGATCCAATGACAGGCAAGATTGGCGAGATACAAGAAATTGACTTACAAGGTGCAGGGGAAACGGCAAGAAATTCTATGTCTATGACTCGTGCACCTGGGTTACTTACAGATGGAGTTCGAGGTACTCTAATTTTATTTCGAAATGATACTTCTCTTAATTAAAATTCTAATATATCAAGACATAATTGCAGCATATATTACACCAAATAATATACTTTTCATAGGTAATCCTAGCAATATTCCATTTTGGCCTGGTGGTTTTGAAGAACCTAAAGTGCCTAAAAGTGAAGACATGAATGATATCGACTTTGAGAAGGATTTAAGGACATTAGCCAAAGGATTTAGCTCAGGTTTAGAATTTAAAAGTGATAATTGTACACCAATCCATTGCATGAGATACGAAGTAGAAGCTGCAACATTAGAAGAAACTGAAAAATTAATAATCAAAAATGATAACATAAATTTAATGGCTGTTATACACGAGGAAGGAAATTTGCTTGGTTCATGGTCTTCAGTTGAAGAGCCGAAAAAAGAAAGTGTTCAAGCTGTGGATAACAACATTCCCTTTATAAACAATTCCATTTTACCCAAAGAAACAGATATACCTGTCTTGAAAATATCCGAGACACAAACAGAACTTACGAAAGCAGAATGGGCAGAACAGCTGGATGTATCTGCACCAGTAACAGACTTTAACAAGAGAGTACCTGATCCAGCAATTACATTCAGTTATGAACTAGACACTTTTCAAAAGCAAGCTATTCTTAAATTGGAAGAAAACAGCAATGTCTTCGTTGCTGCAGGAAAGACTACTGTTGCTGAATATGCCATTGCATTGAGCCAAAAGCATATGACAAGGTAAAACTATTAAGCCAAAAATTAATTTTGCAGTACTATTGTTGTATAAGTATCTAATAGTTATTTTTACATCATTTCAGAGTAATTTATACATCTCCCATAAAAGCTCTGTCAAATCAGAAATATCGTGATTTTAAGAGAAAATTTGAAAGTGTTGGGTTATTAACAGGTGATTTGCAAATAAATCAAACTGCTTCATGTCTAATCATGACAACAGAGATCCTACAATCAATGTTGTATTGTGCATCCGATGTTTTACGAGATTTAGAGTTCGTCATATTTGACGAAGTGCATTATATAAATAATGAAGATGTGCGTAATGTTGATTTTATAAAAATGTCACGCATGATTTCTATGATTCGACAATCTATTTAAAAATTATATTTCGTATTTTTAGAGGGGTCATGTATGGGAAGAAATAGTTATTCTTTTACCACAGAGTATTAATATAGTAATGTTATCTGCGACTGTACCAAATCCAATAATATTCGCGGATTGGGTCGGTCGCATCAAAAAGCGAAAAATGTACGTGATTAGCACTTTGAAAAGACCAATACCTCTGTTACATTATTTGTATACTGGCACTGATGGCAAAACTAAGGATGATAAGTTCTTAGTTCTTGATAGCAACAGCCAATTTTTATTGGATGGGTAAATATCACTTTAATTAAAAGAAACAGAGGCATGATAAATGACAGTGGCATTTTAATATTTAATACTTTAGATGGTACAAAGCGACAAATGCATCCGATAGAAAGAAAGACAAAACTTCGAAGGACTGTAGGAGAAAAATTCAGATGACGCCGAAACAAGAAGAAGTATTATGGAGAGCATTTGTAAGCCACCTTCAGAACAATGTACGTTATTGTACCTACATACTATTTTTTATTCTACAGAGAAATTATAATTATTTTTGTATGTATAATGCTATCAATTTTATAGGACATGTTACCCGTTGTCGTATTTACTCTGTCGAGGAAACGCTGCGATATGAATGCTGCCACGTTCAGAAATCTCGATTTAACAACCGCGAGAGAAAAGCATCAAGTACATGTATTTTTCCAACATAACATAAAACATCTAAAGGGTAGCGACAGAGAATTACCACAAGTACTTATGATGCAAGAGCTCCTGGAAAAAGGTGTAGGTATACACCACAGTGGGATATTACCAATTTTGAGAGAGATCGTAGAAATGTTATTTCAAAGTGGAGTTGTCAAGGTAATTTCCCAAAGAAATATTGAAAAATAAAAGGATAAAGTTAAAGCACATTTTTTCTAAAAAAAAAAAATAAATAAAACTTAACAAATTTTGAAAATATATAAAAATTAAAAAGATGTAATGGAATTACATTTTACTGCATTTTTAGTTACTGTTTGCGACAGAAACTTTTGCCATGGGAGTTAACATGCCGGCGCGCACGGTAGTGTTTGATTCTATACGAAAGTACGATGGAAACAACTTTCGTACTTTGTTTCCAACTGAATATATACAGATGGCTGGCCGTGCCGGACGACGAGGTCACGACACTACAGGTACTGTTATAGTGATGTGCAGACACGACGTGCCGCACTTTAACGACTTGAAACCTATGATGTGCGGTGAACCGCAGACATTGGAGTCGAAATTTAAAGTCACATACTCCATGCTTCTTAATTTGAGAAGAGTAAATGAATCTGTTACCGTTGAAGCGATGATGCGCAAATCTTTCAAGGAATCGCCGTTGGCTTCGCAAGAAGCGTCATATAACAACGAGTTACGGAAAATCGAACGCGAATTATCGAATTTGCCGCCTTTGACCGAAATCCAAAAAAAACTCTCTACGTTCTATCACCAAGCGGTTGATTATCTAGAAGATGTTAAATTCCTAAATCCTTATTTGCTTACCTCGAAGAAGGCAGCGAAAAGTTTAATCGAGGGCAGAGTTTTGTTAATATCGTATGCGGATCATTACAATAAACTAGCCCTGTTATTACAAGTTTTATATCACAAAAGCTCTACTCAGTACAAAGTTTTGATACTTAAGGACGCGAATGTATCCACTTCCGAAACTACTGATTTTAAAAGTCCTCAGATATTTGAGAAATGGAGCGAGATTATTAGCCTAACGAAAAAAGAAATATTTGTACCAAGCATTAATCCATCGCACGAAGTTTTGACTGTATTTCCATGGCATATATTGAAGATAACTAATTGTCAGATAAAAATTGACTGCTCTTTGGTATTGAATGATTGGGAAAAGAGGCAAATCTCACGATTCAAGTAAGAAATAATATAACAAAATAGTAAAAATTCCTGATTTAATTTAATTATCGATTATTTCTTCTTTTTAGAAACGACCCACCAGGACAAACATGTCAGACAGCGGTTCAAGAATTGACTTCTCTATCATTTAATGCTTCTACCAATGCTCGCATTCTACAACCATATATCGAGCCCTCATCGAAAAATGATTTTCAATTAAGAATACAACATAGAAACAAATTAAAAGCTAGTCTGAACGATATGAAATGTATGGAAATACCAAACTTTGAAGAACAATTTAAACCTGTATTTGAACGAAATCATCTTGAAGATAAAAAGCGGCAGCTTCAACTTAAACTCAGCGATGAAGGAATGGCGTTATATCCGGATTATCTGAATATGGTAGCACTTCTCAAACACTTTAGATACATAGATAATGATGAAAGAGGTTCGTATTAATTAAAGTATATAATAATTTTGTAGAGATTTAATATTTATTTATTAAAATGTAATTAACAATGTATTGTTTATTATTATAGTCGCCCTCAAAGGGAGAGTCGCGCTGCAAATGGGTAGTAACGAACTGCTGATAACAGAATTGATTCTAAAAAATGTGTTAACCGTTCTACAACCAGCAGAAATAGCAGCGTTACTATCAGCACTGATCTTTCAGCAACGCACGGATGTCGAGCCTCAACTCACACCAACTCTTGCTAATGTATGTGTCATTGCTCCATTTCCCTTTGAACATGTTAAGTATTTAAAAAATTATGTTACAGTAAGAAACAATCCTCTTTTTTTTTTCAGGCTTGCAAAATAATGAACGAGGTGCACGCGGAATTGGAACATCTAGAGCAATACTATCAACTGTCAACATTGCTACCACTGAATTTCGGCTTAGTAGAAGTTGTCTACGAATGGGCACAGGCCAAATCATTCGCCGAGATCATGAAGATGACTGATGTCCAAGAAGGAATTATAGTCCGTTGCATACAACAACTTGGCGAAACATTACGAGATGTTAAAAATGCGGCTGTGACCATAGGTGACCCGATTTTAAAAGAGAAGATGGAGGAAGCATCGACCGCGATCAAACGTGACATAGTGTTTGCTGCGTCCTTATATACCCAAGACTGAATGAATAATTTAACTCTGATGAAATCGATATATTTTTTATAAAAAGATCAATCAAATATTGTTGAAAGTACATTCTCTTTGCGAAAAGATATTCTACACCATCTATAAGGACGTATGATGAACAATCTTTGCAAATATTTTTTCGGTTATCATAATAAAGATTATCTGATAAACGTCATTGTTATATTTCGAATAAATGCTTATGAATAATCAAATACTAACGATAAATGATTCGTACTAACTTTGCAATTTGCTAAAAGATACAATCTCGATATCAAACAAATTGTATTATTTTACAATACTTATTTGCACCCTTATTATATATTATTTTACATGTTGAAACGATATTACGCGCGTTGATCTGGATTATTAAGATTTCCTTGATCTTGATTCAACTCCGAGATGCATGCCCACTGTCCTTCCGAATTTTCGCGCCAAAGGGAAACTTTGTTATCTCCACCACAGACTGCTAAGATACCTCCTGTCAACGACCAGCCGATATTCCAGATAACATCATCGAAGACATTAAGAACTTTCGGTGTCCAGCTAGTATAATCATTAGAAGTCCATATGACAATGCGGCGATCTTGCGAGCAAGACGCCAAAGTGGCGCGAGATGGGCCGACTGCTGGTGCCCAGGCTACATCGCGAACCTTATAAGTATGATAAAAAGATATATAAATATGCAAATCTTATGATGCTTAAATATTTCCATTATAATTAAACTGTACCCAATCACTATGTGCTTCCAATTTATTTTCTTCTATCCATCTATCGCCATCTTCCTTCCATATCTTCACCAAGTTGTCACAACCACCAGTAGCTAACCGTTTAACAGGATCGTTCTTCTGTTGAGTCATATTGGAATCGGTACCTAAGTCGACTGCTGGACTCCAACAGACTGCGTTACAACCAATCGTATGAGCGTTCGTTATTTTCTGCATCTGCCATGTATCTCCGGTGTTCGCGAGAATAGAAACTGACCCATCTGAACTTCCACAGGCCAGGATCAGACCGAACTCATGCGGCGCCCATGCAACCGAGTTGACGGAGGAATCATGACCATTGTGCTCATATATCTTGGTCCATTCTCCCAATTCTTTCCAAATAATTACCTTTCTATATAAGGACGCAGCAAAAATGTACAAATGTTAACTGTGTATGTCAAATATTATCACAGAGATATTTCAGGTGTTATTAAATTATTAGATATACTTAATTACCAAATAATATCTCAAAATGTATGTAACAAGCAGCATTGTAGAACTGTGTACCTGTCATAGCTACAAGATGCCAAGAGATTGCCAAATTTCGGGTGAGCCCACGCGACCTGCCACACAGGGCCGATGTGTCCCTTGAGAACGGCAACCAGGCTCTGAGAGCCGTTCTTCAAGTCAAATATCTTTACCGTGTTGTCGCTCGAGCAAGTAGCTAACCTCAAACCATAATAATCCATTTCTGCATCATGAATCATGTCCTCGTGGCCGGTATCGACGGTATTTAAAACGGACACCATTTTGAAAGTTAATTATAGCAAACGAAACTTTAATAGCGAAACTTATGCGAAGAAGACTACCCGGAAAATAAAGGCGGTCGCGAACACGGTACAGGTTATGTGTTATCTGATGCGTGCTGTCACTTACGTGGAACTTGGAAGTATAGCGCATAGCGCGATTCGATACTCGAACTCGAGAACGATACTCGATAATCGACTTCCGCGCAAATAATTTGTATTCTCTTGGTGCGTTCCAAAATAATACATAATATAACTACGGGTGCGTTCGGGGAGACGCTATTCGCACTATTTAGCGCTATTACTACAAACTGTTCGCGGATAGAGTCCCTTGGCTGCGTTCCGTTTCACGCATGATGTGCATATTAATTGTAAAAATAGAAATCGTATGAATTCCATTATTTGCGAGAATATTTATTAACGTTGCTTTTCTATTAGCGAATTCGATTGGACGCACTCAGTGCGCACTGGTGCACATTAAAGCCGTCGTACACAAAATAATGTAAAGATATGTTTATAAATAAACATAGAAATCGATTAAATCGTGAAAAACTCAATACATTTTATTGTACTATTAGGTAAAATATGTATTTCATAATTCGAAATATTTGCGTTTCATTTTTATACACAAATTAAATCAGTGTACAATGGCTTTAATATGCACCAGTGCGCACTAGTGCTTCCAATCGAATTCGCCATATAACTCGTGTAATTCCGTTCGAAGTACAATTGAAAGTTATATTCAAAAAAGAGAAAAACGTTAAACAAAAATAATTATTGTCTGTAATTATCGCGAAATGTTAATAAATTCTATTTTCCGTTTTAATTCCAAATGAATGAATCGTACGAAATATCTGTTCATAACGTACGAAGTATCTGTGATACATGATTGTCATCTCGATCCTTTTAAAAATAATTAATCGTGCGAGCTAGTAATCGTGTACTGTGATATTACTGAGAGTATTCATAAAGTACAACGTTTCTTATTATCTACCATTTGTTGCGATTACATTTCAAAAATAAATATGAAGAAGAACGATACGCGCACAGCTATCTGCTTATACGAGCCTCGATAATGGAATGACTGCGTGATAACTGCGCGTAAACATGACGTGCTCGCGCCACCCGCTCGCCCTTCGACGTCAAAACAAACCCCAAGGTCTCGCGTCGATCATCTAGCTAACTGTCGAAATATTAACGTACATATATTACAAATTAAAGTAAAATAATCTATTCGTTACATTTTTAATATTCTCCGATGAATAGGCTTTATTATACGGTTGTTGCTTTATTTCTTTATAGATTCGTTATGCACCTAGACAGCTCATGAATATTTGTAGTCTTAAATATTTCAATTATGTTACAATAAGTAATTATTAATTCGTAATAACTTTTTATTACATGGAATCCGAGCAATATACATAATATTTTTAACAAAGTGTTGACGCATTGTGGCTTTTTGTTTCTTTTAAATATTATTAATATTTATTTAATTGTAAATCATCAGGGAGAGCCAATAAAAATTGAGATATAATGTTGGGATGTCAGAAACATTTCACGTGAGCAATTTTGTCACAAAAAAAAGTCACACTAGTAACAACCACTTTTTACCTCTTGCCTTTTGTCATCACATTAGTTGATATGAAATATTTGAAATTATAAAATAAATGTCAAATTTGTTCTTCAATATACTACGATATAATTATGGTATTACATTAAACGACACGAGCTATTAAAATTGTTAAATTTTGAGAAAATCGATATGAGAAATTATTTCATTATTTCATTCCGACATGTAATACTAATTGGATTTTACTTTGTTTCACGTAATATAAAATCAAATTATGAATCCTAATATATAGGACTCGGTCGTACTTAAAAAATAAAATTATTTAAAATATATACTTTTAATAAAAAAATAAAAGAGTTATCTATAATTTATTATTTCAAATAACTTCTGACCTAATTCTTATTTAATGTAATAAGTTTTTTTAATCTAAAGTACGACGTTTCGTATTATCTAGCATTTGTCGCAAATACGACATTTCAAGAAGAAATGTGAAGAAGAGCGACATGCGACACGGCTATCTACCTGTCTCGGTAAGAGAATGACTGCGTGGTGACTACGCATTAATTACCGTGACGCGCCGCGCCACGCCGTGTTGCCTCGTACCGCTCATTCGCGCTAAAACAATCCCCAAGGCTGCGCGTTAATCATTGTTATGGAAATATTAACGCATGTTACAAAATAAGTAAAATAATGTATTCGTTACATTTTTAATATTCTCCAATTAATAGGCTTCTCCAATTAATAGGGATAAAATGTCATAGCAGAAAGAAACTGCAATTTTTTTGAAATTTTATTACTAAAGAGATTTCAGCCATTTCTAGTATTACAAAAATGATATTTAAATATATATTTGATTGATACTTAAATAATATTTAAATTTATTATGTCGACATAATAAATTTGAATATTAAGTATCAATTAAACATATATTTAAATATTATTTCTGAAGTATTTAAAATTTAAGAGTTTTATATTCTGTTTACAGATTACAAAACTTCTTGAAATAAATTTGAAGCACATTTCTCAAAAATAATAATTATACCAACTATTTGGATTAATTAATCATATTATATGTATAAGCACTTATACAGAGAATCAATATTAAAAAATCACACACAATTATATGAATTACTGCTAAATATGGATCACAATCACTATACCCGGGAAAAAATATTTCATATATAATTATACATAAAATTGACATATTTTATATATAATATATGTCCATTTATATAACATTTTTTTTCGAGTATTGAACGTTATCAGAGAGACTTTCTTGATAAATTTGACATTTTAAATATAAATTCTGTCTCTGTCATCTATATTGATTTGATACAAAACATATCCAATATCGCAGTGCTTGCTAGTCATTTATCCATTTTAGCTAATTTTTCGCTATAATCGCAAAATCATTTGTTTTCAATAATGATTTTTTGTTAATAAAACTGCAAGGTCACTTTTTTCAATACTTGTTTTTGCTTTTTTTTTCTATCGAACTGTGCTTATCAATTTATTGTCAATATTATACAAATCAAACAATCTACAGCATTCGAAAAAGTTCAGATACTAATTAATGGTCATCAATTTTATTACTGACAGCGAACATATGTCGTAGATCATGTGTAAAGTCACGTGTGATCCCATGTCAGACTCTAGAGAGAAGTGAGAAAGGATTTGGACTGGAGGAAAGATCCATGACTTCACAACTTGACTGTTCAGTAGCAGCAGCAGTTCCGCGAGGACCACGAGCAGATCGTTGTACGTGAACGTTATATCGTCTTGAGTTTGGAAAGTAAGTTAGTATTATATAGTTATAAGAATTATTATATTGGCAAATAAATTCTTTTTTTATATTTTTGCAAAAAAAATCCCAGACAACACACATGTTCAAAAACGAGACATAACACGTCTCAAAGAAGTCTAGGTCCACAACCTTGCTTTAAGAGATCATCTTAAAGACATTTTTTTTTAAAAACATCTTTCTTATGTCTCGATTTTGGACTTTTTATTATTTAATTGTAAAGAAAAAATACGTGCAGTTCCTCTCATTTCTTTTTTTTTTCGTGCTGTTCGATCGACGCATCTCACTTAATTTTTTATTCCGGCGTACATTTGATATTTCGACTTCTTTTTTCACTTACGCAATTCCAACGACTAACGGAGAGATTTTTTTTCTGAAGAAGGTCTTCCATTTGCCTGATCGTCTCATAAGCAGCTTCCTTTTTCTCGCCTCCTATTTTTCTCAAAAAGTATGTGACGATGACGCATTCAAGAATCTATATGAGATACGCAAATATATGGAAAGTTGAAGGCTAAGATCCCGAATTAGGAAGATACCAATGACGATGAGTGATTTACAACTGTGATAGAATATATGCACGTAACCGCTATGAATAGAGTTGAGGAAAATATCAATTCAGTGAAAACTCGATGCTAAAGATAATAGTCAATTTACTCAATCATTAACGTTAATTGAAAAGTGGAAAACATGCTTTAGAGTATAATGAAGCTCATAATCGTTTTTTTAAGCTAGGAAAATTAATTTTTATTCTATTCTCTTGACTTTGTATAAAAATGCAGAAATATTGTATACTATTGTTCAACTTTTCAATTATGTTACTATTGTGTTTTATGAACTAAAGCGTGCGTTTACTTCAACCGTGGATTTAAATTTTGATTCCATTTAATTTTAGCTTTTAATTTTAATCTCATAAATAATTAACGAGCTGTGCTTTTGACAAAAACTTTATCGCGCGCGATCGAATTTGTTCTCTTATTTAAATCAAAGTGAATGAATATGTTTGGCATATTTTTATGAAGGAAAAAAGACATTATTTTTATCTTATTCTTCTGTATGACTGCGAAAAAATATTGAAGAATATATTGTATAAAGTTTGATTTCTCTTTATCGCTATTTGCGTCATAAAATAAAAGATTGGGAATCCCGAAGATGTCAGAATTTCCGGAACAGTGAAGCCTCCTGCATTTGTCAACCGCGTTTATTGCAATGCACTGAAAAAATACCTTTTAATAAATCATTTGTTTGAATAATACAAATATTTATATTGTATTGTTTATCAAATATAAAGGTATATAATATTTATTTGGTACAAGAATTATTAATTTGATTTAACATTCATTTTTTTATTGAGTAAATATTTATTTAAATATTTATTTAAATAAATATTTATTAAAATTTAGTACCTATATATTTTTCTCAGTGTAAAATTAATCATGTCTTTATCGACGCCATATCCTGCTTTCATTGCATTATTTATGTCTTCTATCCAAATTCGAGGACTTTCCAGAGGATAACAATCGCAATCCCATCGCTAATTTCACTATCGAACAGAAAAATACGTCGTGTTAAAGCGAAGGACATAGTTCTATTTTGCTCTTGTTGGAAATCGTATTTTAATCAAATTATAATTATTACCATTCCAGATAAAGCGGCCGGAAAAAAATACTTGAAAATGCGTCGTAATTTCTACAACGGTGGACTTACCTGCTCCTCTGGATTGGTATTGTTGACTTGTCTACTACTTGTCCTCTCATTATCGACATCGATTATCGCTGGTACGTCCTCCATTTTTTTTCAGCTTTTCATTATTTAAAAACTCAATAAAGAAAAAGGGCCAAAAATCAATCGTTATAATTTAAAGTTCAGAATAGAAAATAAACAATTATATCATTACGTTGAAAATATTATAAACTTTAATATAAAAACAAACGTTTCGATCGCGATCGGATTATTCTCAATGTTTACAAAAATTAGTCAGTATATGGTAAAACAAATATAAAAATTACATGAAGGATCAAGTAGAATAAATTATATACAAATTATAAAGGTACTTCGCTTTCTCTAATTGTTTGAAAACGCTGATGTGGACATAGTCGACGTATGGTTATTGAGCTGGTATCGGTATTTTTAACTTGCTGTTGAAATATCCGAAAAGATTGTACAATGCATGTTTTCTGTTAACGGAGAATTATGTTATAATAAATATAAACGACAATAATAATATGATACAATGACAGAAATAATACATTATGAAAAATTAGTAAGTTAAATTTGTATCATGTATATCGATATCTTATGCGAACGACAGAATAATATAATACAATATACATGACGAACAATAATAAAAATTAAAATTGTACAATGTATATCGATATATTGAATAAATAAATTTAGTAACAGCTAAATTAAATAGGAATATGTATCTTAAGTTATGTTGTCGAATTCTCAGACAGAAATATTATTAAATATTATTAAAACAGAAATAACTTTTCATTTATTCTTATAAGAAAACACATCGAAGTCCTCTTTCGATTTTAATAAGTTTCTAATATGTTGTTCTCCAGATCAAAATAAGGGATTTAATATATGGTATACCTAATATATATATTTAACATAAGGACTTAATCGCACATTCGGAGGGCGAAATGTCCTATAAAATAATTGGTTATTTTCTTTCGATGCGAATATGTATTCCTCTTAATATATATTACAATAAAAATATGTAAGAAATGCAGATTTCTCCAAAAACACGCAGATAGACTTTGTCGCTTGCGAGTGCACTTTGGATCTTTGATATTTGACCTCTCATATCTTGACATTATGATTTTATGACATATTCAAGTAAATACTTTTCTCATTATGTGACAATTTCTGTAATTATTATATATATCCGTTCTCGTTCGATTCTCCGATATAAATTTAATCATAAAATAAATACGTATATTTTATATTAAAAATCCATTACGCACTAATTATCCCGCCGTTATACCCTTTTAATTATTCTTTCATTATTCTAATTTCTCATATTAAATCATTGTTTCATACAAAAACCGAGCCCCGGCATTTACGAATCGCACGATTTACAGCACCGTTCGTCGAGCAGGAGGTTGGCGCCGAGATACCCGATCTCACGGTGTCTAATAACAATGTCGAACACAAATGTCCGATTCTCGCCTGTAGGCTGAAGTGCGTCTGGGAACAAGAAGTATGTATCCATTATAAACTGTAAATCCACATTTTATTAATTTTATTATAACTATACTTCCACTTTATATTTAGCATTTTTAGCTTTTATTTAGCTTTACATTAATGTAAATTTGAACTATCATGACATAACTATGATGATAAAACAGATTTCTTAAAAAATGTAAATTTAAAAAAATTCTTTTTTATTTTATAATTTTTAAAATTTTTGTAGATAATAAGCAAAGCTTGACCGAATATAAAAAAATAAACTATTATTTTTATGTCATCATAAAAATTTAAAAAAATCGACAAACCTTAAGATCGTATTACCTCTCTTTAATTCTTCTGCTTTCTTTTCATGCCTCTTTATGCTCTTTTTCTTTTTATATTTTATGTTTTTGTTACTCCTATTATCTACATTTTGAAAATGATAAAACATTTTTTTTCCAATTTTTGAAAGAATTCAATTTCATAAGTCATTGTATAATCGATTTATGACATTTTAGTTCCAGTTTAATTTATTTAAAAAATACGGCTGTAAATATTCAAAGATATATAAAGATACAAAAAAGAGTTAGTGTATTTTTAAACAAAATTTTAGACTAGATATGGACTTTAGCTTCACATAAAAGAGATTTGTGACCTCATGAAAATCTTTTTAAATGCTGTTACTGAAAGAATCAACGTTCTCAATAGGTCGATGCAGCCGGCTGTCGCATATGCAAGTGCAAAAATCCCATGGGACGTGTGAATTAGTCACCGTGAATTGTTTCCATGTCCCCCGATGTCACCCATATGTAAGAAGAACAGATCAACAATCTAATTTGTAAGAGAACTTTTATAAATTATTGATTCGCCAGTTGTTTCTCAGGAGCAACATATGTAAATCAATCTATGGGAAATAAATGTCTCTAATGGTCTAGCTGGATCTTAAGTGCTTATATAATTCTGTGTGAATTCATTTACTACGTATGTAGTCCTTTTAATTAACTGCGCGCCAAAACAATTTTTCAGTCTTGAAACACAAACTCTACTGAACTATCGCAATAATATCACCAGTTAAATTGACTAGCAATTTAACAATTCGATGCTCTTACGCATCTTAGAACAATCTTCATAATGCAGAATGGCATATTAAAATCTGTAAATAATAATAAATAAAATCTGTAAATGACATATTATAATATATAAATCAACCAGATAAATTGGTTTATTCGCCTATACAGCTGCCTAGTGAAGTCCAAACAAGAATATGCGATCTGTTGTAATCATCCACCCCCATACAACATAGAAAGTTTACAGAAATATTTCATAGGAAGATTATAACATTGCAAAAACGTAGCGAAATATTGTTGCAACGTTGCTACAACTTTTCAGCAATATCAGTCTTCAAAAAGATTGCAATAAAAATATCATCCTTCAAAAAGATTGCAATGAAAGCTAGCAATTCATTGCATCACATTATTGTATTGTCTATATCATATAATATTTTTAAATTAGAATTTTTTGTACTTATATTGATTAAAATAAAAATTTTAGCATTTTTCTTAGAAAGAAACTTTATTTTTTTACTTATATAAATCTTCATTTTCACATGCTCAAATATTATGATGTTAGAAATCAAAAAATTAAATTATAATTTAACTTTTTAAGCCCTAACATAATATTATTTTCTTTCTTTCTAAAATACATATTTCGAGTATTGTAACCTAAAAGAATTTCTTTTTATTCACCCACATATAAAATTTATAAATTTTTAATCGATGTCACATTTTTTCAAGGTTCTTACATTTGTTTAACAGACACAAGCATAATTTTTAAAAACAGCCAAAAATCGTTAAAATTATTTTTTATCGCAGACCAGTGTTATTCGAGAGTTTGATTGTAATAGACATCTTGACATTTTCCTTAGTGGAAAATCCATTTCAAAAGGGCAAAAAATTTCTACGGAGAATGTATAAATATCCTCATTCATAATTATTATATTCATAATTATATCGACCGAACAGAATTGCATACATATCGATTAGATCATCTCCATGCAAACATTGGAGAATAAATTACAAATTTGTTCATTTAGCAGATAGCAGAATGGAGTAAATTTTTTTTGCCTTATAATATGTCACAGAGTAATTTAATTTTATACCAAATTGAATAAAATAATATTCACAGAAGATATATGTTTTAACTTGTATAATATTTAGCTTCAACCAATCTACGACAGTTCACTTTATTTTACATAAATAAATTATTTAATGTCTTAAGAACTTATGTTATAAATGCAATAGAAAATACAAACAATAATGACGAAAAGTACAACGCAATCTTAATAATACTTGCATAACACAAATTTGGAAACTACATTACAATAAGACGAATTTCAAACTCTTATAGTATTAATACTGCTGTGTTCAAGGAGTGCAAGCTATCAGAATTATCATGATGAAAGAAGACTTCTTACACCATGAGCGTTATTATGTTATTTTACCTTTCTTACTACGTTCGAGAAGCACCTCCTCAAGTCATTATGTCCTTATTTTATGTATTATTAGACGTAAAATATCTAATTATACGGTTATTATAACGATAAAGATTGTTGAGTAACTATTTGCTAACATTATTGCCATGGCGTTTATGTATAATATATGATATCACTTATTATTTTGCGATATTATCCACTTGTTTGACTTCGGATGAGATAAGAAAACCTAAAAGTAAAAAATTCTTGGGAAACTCTAGTTTTATAAGAAGAAAAGCCTCGAACTGCAGCAGTAGTATCTTAAGTTCCTCACGAGCAGATCATAATACGCTATACAAGCTTAAGTCCGGAAAGTGATGTAAGTCGTATAGCAGTAAGAACCATTGTATGACAATTGGCAAATTATATTACATATATTACATTTGGATAATACTTCAGGTTTATTACTCTGTATATATAATTTGTTATATTGTGTCATTATTACTCGAATATTCGAACATGGCAAAATGGTTTCATGCAAAAGGATTAACGATAAATTACCTGACTAGACAGTCTTCTTCCACTTATTCTTTTATTGAAAGTACAATGGTTGTAACAGAAAGATTCAATACGGCAGAAATCTGTTGTGCTTTTTTCGAAACATCTATAAAATTAATTTTATTGGTGGCAAAAATTAATCTTTATTCTATTCTCCTGATTTTATAAAAATGCAGAGCTACTATAATATTCCTATTGCATTTAACTTTTCCATTATGTTACAAGTGTCATGTTTTATAAACTACAGCATGCGTTTATTTCAATTGAAATTTGAGTTGTGATTTCATTTGCTCATCACCTCTATTTTTAATTTCACGAATACTTTTAATCTTACGAACTATGTCTTTTAGTGAAAATTTTCTCGCATCATCTAGTTTGTTCTTTTAGACTAATGAATCAATATATTTTGCATATGTTTATGAAGTATAAAGATAATGTTATTCTTTTTTAATTATTGCGTTTTAAGCAGTGTGTGTTCGTCTGTGCAAAAAGCATGCTGCGGAAAAAATATCAAAAAGGTGGTTATAAGTCACTTCAAATACAAATAAAGATCGCATTTTCTCCATCTCATATCATGTTATAAAATAATAAAAGGTTGAGAATTCAAGAACGTAGGGATTTCTGGAATAGAGTAGCATTTGTTAATCGCGATTATCGCAATGTAAATCATGTCTCCGTCGACGCCATACCTCCATTTCACTTCCATTACATTATTCATGTCTGATCCTGGCTATATCTTAAATTCGAGGACTTTTTAGAGAACATAACGCTTTAATTTCATCGAGAAGAAAAATGCATTTCGTTAAAGTAAAGGAAAGAAGGAAGATTCGTTCTGTGTTATCTTTGAAAATATATTTTAATCAAGAAGCAATTGTTACTATTCCAGGTATAATAGCAATCGGCTAAAAAATTAATTGATGCGATGAAGATGCGCCGTGATTTCTGCAACAATGGGCTTTCCTACATTGTTATGTGGATGTTGACCTGTCTACTGCTCATTTTTTCAACAACGATCACTGTTAGTACGTCCTCTATTCTTCTATTTTTTCAGCATTTTATTATTTATTCTTTGTTTGACTCGTTTCCGTTCAATGTGCACCCAAACACAAAGAAGCACAAAAAACAAAATTACGATAAAATATATTTCAAAAGTGGATAGATATTTTCATTGTACATTTTGGTTTGCGCAACACTTGATTTAATTAGAACTTGTGAATATTGGACCGAGCAACGTAATCGCTCTAAAAAATGTCTAAAAAAAAGATTAAAGTATTCACTTCTAGCTTGTAAGTACTCGCTTCAAATTAGAAATTATCTTCTCTTTGCAAAAACTCAAATTAGAGACTATTTTCTCTTTGAAATCATTTTAATATATTAGTTACAAAACCATTTTATAAAAAGTGGTTTTTATTAGTTTTTTTATTCCCAACTGCTTCAAATTTCTCTATTCTCTAATATTCCTGCAAATTTCATCAAAATCAGTAAAGAGCAGAGCATAGTCTCTCTTATCAGTTACTTTATTTTATTGATAAAGTTTCATCTTATAAGAACTGACGCATTCATTTATTCATTATTCTATTATTTTGTCGATATCATGAAAAGTTTTACATTATAATCTTGTTCCTTGATTTGGATTGATTTTTTCAGCCTAACAACTAATGAATAAAAGATATTTTAATTCTCTGGTAATAATCATGAAGTATGATATATTTATACATTTATGATCCATTACGTACAAATTAGTGCGTCATTGTATCTTTAATCATTCCTTTTAATCATTCCTTTATTATTCTAATGTCTCCCGTCAACTCTGTTCATACGAAAAAACTGAATTCTATTTGAATTTATGAACTGAATAATTTGCAGAGTCGACCATCAATGAGATTGGTAAAGTGACCAGCAAGGATGCCACCAACCAAACGTGTCCACCAATCATGTGTGAGTTATACTGCGTCTGGGGATTCGAGGTATATATCTACTATATAAAACTGTATATCCACTTTATGTTTAACATAGGTATTTAATGTAAATTTAAAACTATCTATATTAAAAATGTTCAAAAACGTGTAGGACAAAAAAGGGGTAAGTTGGCAAAATGGATAAAAAATGACGAATTGCTAATTTTGCTAAACTAATAACAGATAATGGGTCGATGTTGAATTCATTAAAGGGTTTAGATAAAATAATAAATAGTTTTTTGTAGTTTGATTTCAATTTGTATACAAAAAATAGATAATATAATAAGAAATTTACATTTTGTACGCTCTCATATGTAATTTTATGTCTGTTTATAAGAAATGACATAAATATATGACTACAGTAAGATGACATATTCGTGCATATAGATTATGTTTGTTAATGCATTATAAACATGATGGCATCAAATTAGTTAGTTCTTTAATATTGAGTATGTAAATTAAAGTAAAGGTAATCCTCTTGACGTCTCCATCTAGACAAAATAATGTGAGCAAAATACTTCCCCTTTGAAACCGTTCCATTTTCATCTGAAACATTTTTATATTATTAGTAATATTGGAAAAAATTGACTGAAAAATTGATTAAAATGGGAACCTTGTATAGAAATGTAAAAGAGTTCGTGCATTTTTAAATAGAAATTTAGACTACATATAAATTTTTTCTTCATACGTAATAATCTTAGTTTATGTCGCTTGAAGATCTTTTCAAGTATTCTTATTAAAAGATCTAATATTTTACGTTAGATTGATCCAGTCACCAATTGTCCCATATGCTCGTGCTGTATTCCCTGGTTCTGCGCCATTTTTTGTCCGGAAAGCGAGACCTGCGAACCAAATTTCGATTGTATCCCCCAGCTACCACCATCGATACCATGTCCTATAATCAGATGTGTGAACATCACATCTTCATCAACAGTTTGATCTGCAGGCGAATCCTTACAGATCACCGATTCTCCACGACTATTTTTGTGCGACACACCAGATAAATCAACTTGTCTGCGGATGTACAGCTGCCTAGTGTAGAGTACCTCTAGTAAGAATTAAAACGTCTTACTAATTTATTTGTGTAAAGCTTTAAACAGAATAAAGAAAATTAATCATTTACTTTACACCATTTATATTCTTTACAAAAACAACTTTAACATCCCGTAACTTCGAAATCATTCGCAATCGGGTATACATTTATTTCAACTGATTTTCATGTGCTAAATGTTCCAGTTTTGACAGTTCAGAGACATCCTCTATTTATGGATTATTAACCGAGGATGCGATTAAAGTCCCAATACAAATACTTTGAAGCATAATACGTAGTACAATACGTTATATAATGATCATTATCTAAAACGCACCACTACGATGCGTTTTAGTAGCAATAATGTTAGCAATTAACTGCTTGATAATCTTTATCGTTATAGTAAACGTATATTTAGACGTCTAATGATACATAAAATATATAAGAATAGAATTACTTAACAGAATGTTTCCCGAACACAGCCAAAGGTAAAACAATTAGTCAAATTCTTTTTTTTTTTTTGATTGACCAATCAGAAAAAAGAATTTTACTAATTCACCGATAAAAAAATGCTTTAGAATATTTGAATCATGATATTATGTTGCTTTACCTTTGGCTGTGTTCGGGGAACATCCTGTTAAGTAATTCTATTCTTATATACTTTATGTATCATTAGACGTCTAAATATATGTTTACTATAACGATAAAGATTATCAAGCAGTTATTTGCTAACATTATTGCCACTAAAACGCATCGTAGTGATCATTATATAACGTATCGTACTACGTATTGTTCTGTGACTCATTCTTCAAGTGTTTAGGATGACATAAGAAGGAAAAAATAAAAAACTTTAAAATAAAAAAAGAGAGGAAAATTTTAATTCTATAAAAAGGAAACCTTCTGACTGCAGTAACAGTTTCTCAAGTTCCTCATGAGCAAAACATAGTGTACGTTTAACAGACTTAAGTCCAAAAAGTGAAGTAAGTAGTATAGTAAAAGAACCATTGTGATAATTGGTAAATCAATTCTTTTTTTTTAAATAATAACTTTCACGAATCTTACAATTCACGAAAAATGTAAGATGATTCGACGTACAATGCCTATCCCTTGTTTTTCGTGCTAGCGCATCACACTTTTCAGTCTTTGACTTCTTTTTTCATTCAAGCAATTTCAGCAACGAGATTCTTTTCTTCGAGATTCTTTTCTTGGAGAAGATCTTTCATCTGCTCTTCTTCTCGTAAACTTCCTTTTTCTCTTTTCTTTTTTTCTCACGAAAGTATAAGACACGTCCGGGATACGATACGCCATGACAATAGAAAGTTAAAGGCTAAGATCCAGAAGAAAAATGTCGAAGATGAAGAATTACCCACAACCGCCAGAGATCGAGTAGACGCAAGCAATCACTTATGTGAATCGTTGGAGAAAATATTGCTGATCGAGTAGAAATGGTACTGGAGTTAAATCTCTCGATAATTAATGCCGTAATAAAAATATGAATCGTATACTTTATGAGTGTAATGAAGCGATCGTTATCGTTTATCAGCCTTCTCAATTGCTTCATTCAATAATGATTATTCCATTCAACATATTATATTCATTCGAATAATGTTTCAAATTTATCTCATATTATTCTGCGTATAATTTCGTTATTATTATATTATGTCATTTACTCGAATGCTCAAACATGGTAGAACGGATTCATGCTGCAAAAGAACTAACTTATCTGACTATGACACTCTTCTTTCATTTATCCTTTTGTTGAAAGAAAGTACAATAGTTAAGGAAAAGGTTCAATACGGCAGCAATTGTTTTGTGTTTATTTTGAAATATCGATAAAATTATTTTTGTTGGTGACGAAAATTAATCTTCATTCTATTCTCCTGATTTTATAAAAATGCAGAGCTATTATTATTATTGCATTTAAGTCTTCACTTATACGTTATAAATGTCATATTTTATGAACTATATGCGTCTATTTCAATCCAAGTTGGGTTTTAACTCCATTTAACCATCGTTTCTATTTTTAATCTCATGAATATTTAATGGACTTTGCTTTTTAGCAAAAATTTCCTCGAATGATCGAATTTATTCTTTTACTTAGGTCATCGAATGAATATATTTGGTATATTTTTGTGAAGGATTAAAATAATGCTATTTGTTTCTAATTACTGCATTTTTTGCAGTATGTGTTTGTGTACACAATTGCGGAAAAAATCAAATAATGGCTATGAGTGGCTGTAAGCCACTTCAAATAGAAATAAATTTCGTATTCTCTCCATCACATTTCATGTCGTAAAATAAAAAGTTGAGAATCTCAAGAACATCGGAATTTCCGGAATAGAATAATCTTCCGTGTTCGTCAACCACGTTTATTACGATGCGTAGAGTCACGTCTCCGTCGACGCCATACCCCACTTTCGTTGCATTATTCATGTCTCCTGACTACATTCCAAATTCGAAGACTTTTCAGAGGATGTGATGTAACGTATTGCTAATTTCACCATCGAGAAGAAGAATTCATACTGTTAAAGCAAAGGATAGAGTTTCGTTCTACTCTCGCTGGAGTTTGTGTTTTAATCATGACGTAATTATCACTATTCCAGGTTATAGTGATCAGTTCAAAAATTACTTGACGCAATGAAGATGCGCTACAACAGTGGACTTACCTACACCGTTATGTGGCTGTCGTTGGCTTGTCTGCTGTTCAGCCTCTCGCTACCAACTACGATCACCGCCAGTACGTTCTCTATTCTTCTATTTTATTCAGCGTTGCATTATTTACTCTTTGTTAATTTGATTCGTTTTCATCCAATGTGCACACAAACGTAAAGCGTAACAAGATAAAACAATCGCTATAAAATACCTTTCGAAAGTGAATAGTTATTTTCACTGTGCATTTTAATTTAAGCAATGCTTAAATAAAAGATTTAAATGAAACTTGTAAATACTGTACGGGACCGCTCTATGTAGTCACTCTAAAAATTGAAGTGAAAAATTCACTCTTTGCTTACGAGTGTCCGCATTCAAATTAGAGTAACAACCTTCTCTTTCTACTCACTCTAATTTCTAATATACATTAGTGGCGAAACCTTTTTATAAAAAGTAATCATTACTGATTTTTTTACTTTCGATTGCTGTCGATCAAAGGTTAGCACAACAAGAAAAGTGTGCATTTTATTGGAATCGAATTATTACTTTATTAGAAATTATTAATTTTCACATATTCTTTTGTTTTAATACACTTTCGTTCGTTATGCATTCCATGTTTTTTCCTTTGAATTACTCGGAAATATTCACTATTACGGTGCTGCTTTGGAACAGTATGGCATGTTAGATAAATATAATAAGTGTGATAAATACAATAATTAAGTTAATAGTAGAAAAGTAGGAAAAGTTATTATCCGTCGACTGAAGCTACTTTTATTATCATCGTCGTTATCCTACACTTTTGTCAGAAAGTCCGGCTCGGCTTTTTACCCGAGAAAGCAACTAATAATAAATTATATTTTTTTATGCAAATAGAAAAACGTACTTGATCTACGTTTAAAAATCTTTTTTTTGTGTCAATTTATTGCAAGAAGACAAAAAAATAAATAGAGAGCTGCATTAAAAATTTATTCAGTAATACATCTTCAACTTAGCGCTCCCATTTTTCATAAATGTATTGTATTAAAATTGATACAAAAACAAAGAATATTTTTAAATGTAAATCATGTATGTTATCCTTCAATTTGCATAAAAAAGTGCCTGTAACCATTGTCTTTTTCTTTCTCCGTATAATATAAAAAAAATAAAAAAAATAAAAATCTGAAAAAAGTTTTTCATAATTTAAAAAAATTTTATAATATTTAAAAATTTTTTAATTGTTCATTAAACAGCTAGGGCACAATCTCTCTTGCCAGTTATTTTATTTTAACGATAAGTTTTTATCATAACAATTGAATCAATAATTTATTCTTTATTATGTTATTTTCTTCTATCCCATACAGCATCGAAAGTTTTCAGAAATATTTCAACTTTGAAAAGTAAAACATTTCATAAAAATTGCGGAATATGTCTGCAACGTTTCTAAGACAGCTCTGAAATAACAAAATGTCCGCGACATAAAATGTCTTGCACATAAAACCTTGTTGAAAGATTGATATATGAAATGTCATAGCAGAAAGAATCTGCAATCTTTTTGAAATATTACCAAAGAGGTTTCAGCCATTTCTAGTATTACAAAAATGATATTTAAATATATACTTGATTAATATTTAAATAATATTTAAATTTATTATGTCGATATAATAAATTTGAATATTGTTTATAAGTATCAATTAAACATATATTTAAATATCATTTCTGAAGTACTTAAAATTTATTAAGAGTTTTTTATGATCTGTTCACAGATTACAAAACTTATTGAAATAAACTTAAAGTATTTATCAAAAATAGTAATTATGCCGCCAACTATTTTGATTAATTAATCATATTATGTATATAAATGCTTATACATATAATATGATTAATTAATCAAAATAGTTGACGGCATAATTACTATTTTTGAGACACAATATCATATTATTTATATACAAAAGTTTTTCGTAATTAAAGCAGAACAAGTCACAATAACATCAAAATGACGTTAAACTTTAACTGAATCATGATTGAATAAAAAAAATAATTTTTAGTAAATATTTTGGAGCCATTTTAACATTATGATGATTTTTTGTTCTGTTTAAATATGTTTTTCAATTTATTGTATATGATATTATAGATCTTAGAAATATTTCTGTTAAAACATTTTGTACGACATTGCAGAATCTTTTCAGAATTGTTGCATATGAGACGTGAAAGGTTGAAACATTTCTGAAAACTTTCCGCAATAATCGGTGCTGTACGGGATAAAAGCGTCTCCATCAGACAATATGACAAACGTATGCCAGCATGAGCAAATATCATACAAACACATGACATAAGTAATTATCCATATTGAATATAGAGCAATATTTAGCTAATGTATGCGAAATTGGCGTATACGTTGGCCATATCATCTGGAAGCGCCTTAAGTATTATATCAAAATTTCATATTGTATGATCTTGTCTTTTGGTTTGAATTGATTTTGTCAGCTTAACTAATGAATATAAAAGGCACCTCTTAATTAGAAGAGATTTAAAAAATGTTTCCTCTAATGTATACCGAAAGCACGAAAATACGGAATATATAATTATCAGATATCGCGCTTAAGATAGCTTGAAATAAAATCCAAATTTTAATTTTATTCAATTTTTCAATATATATATATAATATATATAATCATAAAGTGAATACATTAATATATTGAAAATCCATTGCACAAATTGCAATTGCTGCGCCGTTATATTCTTAATCGCCTTTTCATTATTCCTTCATTATTTTAATGTTCAGTCTTGCGTTCATTCTATTTATACGAAAACCGAGTTTCATCATTTACGAATTAATTTATGATTTGCAGAGCCGACCATCGATGAGATTGGCACCAGGATGACTAGCAAGAATACTACAAATGAGACGTACCCACTTATCATGTGTCCCTTAATGAAATGCCGCTGGGATTTCGAAGTATATATCTACTATATATAAAACTATACATTAAATAAGACAAAGAGAGAGTAAAATGACGAAATGAATAAGATGATGAATTATTAATTCTTCTAAGCTAATAACAGACATTGTACCAATTAAACTCATTAAAAAATAATAATAAATATTTTCTTTAGTAGTTTGACTTCAATCTGTCCACAAAGATAAATAATATAAGTATAATAAGAAATTGTATATTTTAGACGCATTATTTATATGTAATTTTTTGGTCTGTTTATAAGGAATAACACAATTATACGTTCACTTTCTTTTCGTTACATTTCTAGCTGAAACATATTTTGTACTATTAATAATTTTGGAAAAAATTGACTGGATTTATTAAAATTGTAGAGATAAAAAAAAAGTTTATGTATTTTTAGATAGAATTTTAAACTAAATTCTTTCTTTGCATGAAATAATTTTGATTTGTAATGTGTTTTACATAAAAATTGTTATTGAAAATGCTGTTATTGAAAAATTCAACATTTTCGATAGATCGATGCAGTCACCGGCTGTCAAACGTGCCGGGATCCTTGTTCCGGCGTTGTCTGTCCAGAAAACGAGACATGCGTGCCAATCATCGTGCAGTGTTTCGTAGCGCCGTGTCTCCCGATGGGTTTCTGCGAGAAAATCACATCTTCATCAATAATCTAATCTGTAGGCGAATCCTTACAGATCACCGATTCGCCACGGCTATTTCTTTGCAACATGTCAGATAAATCAATTTGTCCGCTAATGTATAGCTGTCTGGTACAGAGTACCTTTAATAAGAATTAGGAAACTTTATATCGATTTATTTGTGTAAAGCTTTAAACAGAATAAAGAAAATTAAATATTTACTTTATACCATTCATGTTTGTTTACAAAAATATCTTCAATATCCCATAACTCCAAAACCGTTCAAAATCGGATATATGTTAATTTTGACTGGTTTTCATGTGCTAAAACTGCCGGATTTTATAGTTGGGACAATTTAAATTATTATTGAAAAACAGGAGAATTTCGATCTTTATTAGTCTATATAAATATATATAATCGAACACAGTATAAATCTATAAATATAATAATCTATTTACAATTGTGCGGACGTATTAACGTAATGACACCTTGGGATTTTCAGACCCAGGACAATCTTGCGTTAATGACTCACACATTAAAGAGGTAATGAAGACAAATATCAATAAAAATATAATAAACTCATTTCCCATACCTAGATCCTCGACGATCAAACAAATGTCCATCGATAAATTCATTATTCGCGAGTAAATGTTTCCGATTTCACAAAAGAATCGTTATTTTATGTCAAACTTTAAAAAAGTAGATTACATTTCCGAATTATCTTCTGTATTTTGTCAAAATCGTTTGAATAAATTTACAAACGATTTATAAATTTACATTACGTGAATGATATCAAACAAGTCTTTAATAGTTGTCTTTAGAATCTATATAGTCATATGTATGAACACCGGATCCAAGAATGTCGCATGCATTCGTTTGATCGTCAAGTCTGGACCGTAACGATGAATCTCGTGGACAATAAATTACGACGAAATATTGACAGTGAGATATACATGACATTGTTTTGACTACGATGTATACTAAACCATATACGACATTACTTCGCGTTTCCAGGTTGCACTTATGTGTGATTTTTGAACTTTTATTTATTAATAACAGCTAACAGTTAAGAACAAATTCAGTTACGTGACATAAAATTATTAAAGATATTCAAAGTTGTAAAAGCATAAAAGCGTGTTCTCAATTATTTAATATTCTTTAAACAAACATTTTTCGAAACCAAACACTTATATTGAGAAAATTTTTTTCTATTCTTTTACGTATATCTTTTTACGAAAAATTATCCCCTCTTACCGATTATATTATACTTCCCGTATATAAAAAAAAATGTTACAGAGATAGAAAAAGGTATAAGAATTGAAGAATTATCGATTATTATAATTTGAATACACCTGGAAAAAGAAGTTTAAAAATCACTATCGTACAAGGTGGAAATTATCTATATAAAAAGCGAATCGTTTTATGCTCCGACAATAGTGTCCGATGTATGAATATTCTCTAGCTTCTGCTGTGCCGCAGTCTCCTTTTCTTTCTCATTCTGCTCCGATCCTGATATCACGTAAACCGGCTGTTGGCTATAAGCGAGGAAGTGTTGATCCATTGGAAACATTTTCGAGGGATCCTTCAATTTCATCTGCAAGATTTATTTAGAAAATTTAATGATGGTCGGTATCGTAATAATATCGTAATAATTGTCAACAATGCTAAAAATATATTAAATGAAACTCAGATTAAGATATAATAACATAAAAGATATAATTGAATGGATTCAATAGAGTCAGAGATCTAAGCACAAAGATGGGAAACAAAGAAGAAAGAAGCACGTAACTGAGCCATAAGTCTTAGTTGTAGATTGACCAAAACATTGTGCGTTGATCTACACGACTACGACTCCTATTCCATAACTCAATTACGGTCATCTTTGTGTTTATAGACCCTCACTGTCAGATCTAAAGAGTTAATATCTTCAGCGAAATTTTAGAAGTTCCTACCTTCTTGCGGTACAACATTAGTAGAATGACGAGACTGCTAATAACAAAAGCGCTACTCGCTGCAAGCACGATCGTAGCCGTTTGATAGAACGGCGATTCCATTTGCGTGAGGATCTCACGTTGTTCCAATGTGACGATCCGGCTCTGCGTTTCCACAGGTGTGGAGCGATGCGTAAAACGTGAGGTCGTCGCATCCGCGGACGAACCCAGCAAGGACAACTTCTGAATTCGCGTGAGCTCTTCCAAATGGAACGCCACGTCTACTTTGTTCGTGCCGACGATCTCGAAGCTCAAGATTGCCGAATCCTGATTGATTTCTACTCGTATGTCTCTTCGGAGTCTCGCACCTAGTTCGTGCAGAAAATTCTCGGCCTCTCGAGCGAATCGCTTCTCGTCGCTGGCGAGAAATCGACCGGGGAAACGTAATGTCACTTCAACAGCTTCGACTGGAGTGGGCACTAAATTTAAATATAACAGATATTATATTTAAATTACAATAAAGCATTGTTATATATTTAAATTTATAATTGCGAATTTTAATTTAAAGAAATACATGTATGCGACTATCATGAGAGATCGGAGAGATCAGGTTCACAATTTTTCAATAGTTATATTTTTAAAAAAGTAGATGTAAGAATTTTAAACACGTTTGCAATACATCCCTTAGGCGTTAAAAAATATATTACTCTTGAATATATCATCGTACAAATAAGTTATATAATTTTAAAGCTGCGAAAAAATATGACAATTATTTTACTCCAGTTTGATTGTCACACATTATAGAATTAGTAGTAACATACTTTATGTGGATAAAACACAAAAAATAAAATTTGTATTTTAATTTTAGTTCTATATTTTAGGAAATAATAGGATATTTTCATATAAATGAAATAATTATTTTAATCATTCCATTTTAATCCTATAAATATGTAATTTATTTTCGTATTAATTTATACGTATATAAATATACATAATTTTTATATGAAAAATGAAAGAACATTAATATCTATATAAAATATTATATTTGTAAATTTAAAATCTCTAAAGAAATTGCTGATTCAAAGAGACTGTCACGTGTTGCAACTAATCCCGACTATCTTGGTAAATATACCTCACACAACCGTTTTCAATAAAAAAAATTATATTCACAAACTTTGTTACAATAATGATTAATAACAGCAGAGCGAAAATTATCTAAGGCATTTCATTTTCTACTTTTTCTATTTCAGGGTGATTGATAATATCATGCGATTGATAATATCAAACGAGAAAAAAAACAAGAAAAAAATTTACTCACAACTTCATTTTTCGAAAAAATCGTTATAAATAATATATACTTTTAGCGCAAACCATTTTATACAACAAATCAATATTATATCAATAATTTATAGTTAAAAGAAGAGAATCCCCTATCATATATTAATACTTAATGTGACCAGATATTTTTAGATCTAAAATAGGAACTTCATTAAGTGGGATTGAGAAGGAGATAGATATGGATATAAAGATGAATACAATAATAGCAATTTATTTTTAAAAAATAATACAATTGTTTTTATATTTAATTTCAGTCTAAATTATTTGTTTTAATAAGGAAGGTAAGCTCTTAAAAAATATATAAAATTCTTAGCAACTGAAATCAAAATTAATTTTTGTTATTAATATACTTTTAATTGATTTTAGAGTACAAACTCAAAGTTCAGTTTTTTCTGCGGTCCATACTTCGTTCATTGCAGAGAAAATTCATTCAACTGCTGCATTACTTCCTGGAAGCGATAATACATATTCTATGATTCTATAATTTGGCAAAATATAAAATATTTTTCAACGAGACTTTTTCGTTACTTTTTGCTAAAATCGAGGCATTTAACATGTTTGGAACAGCGGGACTATCCCGCCGAAATCGGAACATCTGGTCACATTACATATATTGATTGAATTACCTATAAGCGTTGATTTTAACAATCATTCCCTGTACGATGACAACTGGCTCCAGTCTCCTCTATACTAATCCTATCTTTTGTTTTATTTTGTTATTTCATATTTATATAAATTGAAAAGTTAAAAAATCTTAATATAAAATTTTAATTTTAATTTAACTCATATTTTAATCGTATACTTGTCAAATTATTGCAACTAGGTTTTAGTTAGAAAAACCTTCCACTTACGGCAAATGTTAGTTCCCTTCAAGAATGGCTCAGATCCAATTAGTTGATTGCCGGCTTCATCCACGCACCAGCAAGTATCACCAACGCATTGTGTAGGCTCAAATCTACCCTGTGAGTCGCATATCGTAGGCACGTGACCTTTGTTCTTCATCGCCTGACATCTGGTCCCGAGAATCTTTCCCGTTTGCCGTTCATCCGTTTCCAAGTTCAGCAGAGCGTCCTCCATAATCGCTTGAATCTCACGATCTATCTCCTGCGACTCCGGTCTTCTGCCGCCGCGTCTTGCTTGACGGAAGTTACACTTTGGCTCGGCGGCCCGGGTGAGCGAGCCCTTAATTGGCTGGCCCTTACGATTCACGCACCAGCAGACACCAACGTGCTCCAGACACTGCACCGGTTCCCACGTTCCACTGTCAGGATTGCACTTGGGCAGGAAAGTGGGCTGCTTGAGTCGTTGCGACCGCTTCAGATTCTTCTCGCGCAGCCTCTCGCACTGCGACAGTACAGGACATACAGTGTCGCACACCAGTCGACTGGAGAAGTCGTTGTGGCCAACGGTGCACTCGTTCTTGCGCCGACATTCATTGCGCTCCGGATCGAAGAACCATCTCTCGGTCTCGTTGAAGCCAACGCTCGGATTGCAGGGTATTCTTCGGGGTGACTCGAAGCAGACTTCACGCGGTTTCGGACAGCACACCGCGTACTCGTTCAACGGCGACAGCTCGCACTTGTGCGTCGAGGGGCAATGATGACCATGTGGCCCGCAGGTGGCGATCGAGCCATTTTGCTCGAGCAACGGCGAGCTGTTCGGGCACGGGTTGTCCTTCTTCGGCAAGCAGACTGGTACCGGGGGACATGGCGGTGCGCTACACGCGACCTCCACCATCCGGCACGCCTCATTCTCGCCGCGGCAGGTCACGCTACGACACGGATCGCGGCACGAGCACGTCGGGCAGCCTGTGTCCGCGTCCAGTTCGAAGCCATCCGGACAGTCAAGCTTGCAATCGATTTCCGGACATCTCAAGGGTGTGTTACAACGCGGCACGATTCCTTCGAGGACCCGAGT